CAAATATCCCTTAACTAGAACAAAAGAAGTCAGAGATATACATGAGATTGATGATTCCCTCATTGAAAAAATATTATTGAGCACTTGTTATGTACTAATCCCTGGGAGTAGGAGAAAGAAGACAAAGACAAACCATAAGCCTTACTTTCTGGTGTTTTAGAATTTTTGAAAGAGCTGTTTGATGAGAAGAGTAAAGATTCATAGTTAGATTAATAATGTTCAATTTGCCTTGAAGTATCTTGCTTTTGAACTAGTAAAGCTATGCAGATGGTTAACCTGCCTTTTTTTTCTGGAAACAAACACTGAGTGTGTTAACAATCAGTATTTTCTGTTTTTTATAATTATACGGAGAAATACCAACAATCATGAGTTGATGTATGAGAAAGCTGTGATACAGCAGAAATTCTGGCTCCAGCTCTTTAACAAGCCATCTACTATGGTTGCAACAATATCCATTAGTTCTCCGATGCATACATTTACAGGGCAGACTCTGGACAAAAATCACTGAATTTATTGCAATGGAGCTTTAGCCATCAAACTTCTACTCAGAATTCCTCATTTTTGTGAGCCGAGCTGAACATCATAGTATTAAACCCTAGACCAAACGCAAAAGAAATGTTCTTCTTGGTTGTTTCTCTTTATGTCTAAGTCTTTGTTGTTGTTGTTTTTAATAGCTTTATTGAGGTATAAATGACATACAATAAGCTGTGTATATTTAAACTGTAAAATTTGATACATTTAAAAATTAGAAATGAAAAAGGTGATATTTCAACTGATAACTCAGAAATACAAGGAATCATTAGAAACTACTATAAACAACTATGTGCCGACAAATTTGAAAATCTGGAGGAAATGGATAAATTTCTGGACACACATAAGCTACCAAAACTGAGCCAAGAAGATATAGAAAATCTGAACAGACCAATAGCAATAAAAGGGATTGAAGCTGTTCTCAGAAGGCTCCCAACAAAGAAAAGCCCAGGACCAGATGGGTTCACTGCAGAATTCTACCAAACCTTCAAAGAGGAATTAATACCAATTTTCTACAAACTATTCCAAAAGGTTAAAACAGAGCCCATTCTCTCAAACTCATTCTATGAGGCAAACATCACCCTGATACCAAAACCAAAGATACCACAAAAAAAGAATACTACAGGCCAGTATCTTTGAGGAATATAGATGCAAAAACCCTCAATAAAATGCTAGCTAACAGAACACAGCAACATATACACAAAATTATATACCATGATCAAGTGGGATTCATGCCAGGGATGCAAGTTTGGTTCAACATATGCAAATCAATAAATGTGATACACTACATCAATAAAATCAAAGACAAAGATCATATGATCATCTCTATAGACACTGAAAAAGCATTTGATAAAATTCAACATTTGTTCATGATTAAGACTCTCTACAAGTTAGGTATAGACGGAAAGTATTTCAACATAATTAAAGCCATATATGATAAGCCCACTGCCAATATCATCCTGAACAGGGAAAAGTTCCACATTTTATTGTTGCCTGTTGGCTGTTTATATGTCTTTCCTTGAAAAATGTCTATTCAGCTCCTTTGCCCATTTTTTAATTGAATTTTTTGTTCTTTTATTGTGAAGTTGTTTGAGGTCCTTGTATATTCTTGGCATTAATCTCTTGTTAGATGTATAGTTTGCAACTATTTTCTCCCATTCTGTCAGTACCCTTTTCAGTCTGTTGATTGTTTCCTTTGCTGTGCAGAAGCTTTTTAGTTTGATATAAGCCCATTTTTTTTCTTTTGATTTTTTTGTACTTTTGGGGTCTTATTCATAAAGTCTTTGCCCAGTCTTACATCCTGAAATATTTCCCCTATGTTTTCCTCTGGGAGTTTTATAGTTTCAGATCTTATCACCACTCCTATTCAACATAATATTGGAAGTATTAGCCAGAGCAATCAGGCGAGAGAAAGAAATAAAGAGCATCCATATTGGAAAAGACAAAGTCAAATAGTCACTGTTCACAGAAGACATGATCCTATATATAGAAAAACCCATAACCTCTACCAAAAAAGTCCCAGAGCTCACAAACAAATTCAGTAAAGTTACAGGATACAAAATCAATATGCAAAATTCAACAGCATTCTTATACACCAACAATGAACAAGCAGAAAAAGAAATCAAGAAATCAAGCCTATTTACAATAGCTACCAAAAGAATAAAATACCTAGGAATAAATTTAACCAAAGAGGTGAAATATCTCTACAGTGAGAACTACAAAACTCTGCCAGAAAAAATTAGAAAGGACACCAAAAGATGGAGAGACATTCCTTGTTCATGGATTCGAAGAATTAACATTGTGAAAATGTCCATAATAACCAAAGTGATCTACAGATTAAATGTAACTCCCATCAAAATACCAATGGCATTCTTCACAGAAATAGATAATGCAATCCTAAGATTTATATGGGACAACAAAAGACCCCAAATAGCCAAAGCAATCCTGAGCAGAAAAGAATAAAACTGGTGGTGTAACACTGCCTGACTTCAAATTATACTACAAAACT